CGAACGCCAGATAATTGCACGTTAAAAACATACTAACCTTAATGATGAGATGCTCTGATTTATATATAAAGAAAGGTATGGGAAATAGTGAAGAAAACAAAACTATGTAAAAGTGCTAGATATAAAATTTAGAGATTGACTGAGTGCAGATAATCACATATAATCAATAAAAATCATCACCAAAAAGACTGACACTCTAAAATGAGATCAAGTAAAGAACAAATTTACCTTAATCTGTGCACCTCCTGGCTTTTGAAATAAAAAGGGAAGCGAAAAATAACGAGATCCTTGAAAAATGTAGTTTTTGACAAAAACTTCCTCTACAGCAGATTATAGTAGATTTGGCTTGAAGCCAACTCACTTACATCGGAGGCAGCTAGAGTCGCACGCGAACCAGAAATGCGTGAATTCTTACAATGCTTTTCCATACGGTATTGTTTGATGGCGTTAATTCATGATATACGTTGAAATGGTTTACTCTCTAAGAAAGAAATGAGATAATTATCATGCTATCATATTGTTTGAGCAGATCATATGAGCAAGCCTAGTTTTTTTGAGTAATGTTGAATGGGGCCGTCGCTCATAGTGATTAGCTTAGTGAAGAGAAAGACTTCTAACTAGTGTGTATTAACGTTTTTGTAAACAGCAGGCTCACATACTTGACACTGAGAAGGAAAGCAAGAAGGCGAAAGGAACAAACTTAGAATACGCTCGCAATTATTGATTTCTACTTCCTTTCCCGCGCTTTTTTCAGATCATAAGCAGAGATTGTCACCCTCTCATTAGGCATATCACATATCAACCTGTGATTACACCACGAAAGGAGACGATAACGCTTACAGTCTTTAAAGCTTTCGCATTCCAAGGACGGTGTCTCCTTGTGTGCAATAGCTGTATCTCATGCAAAGAGGACCAGCGTTACCTCTCTTAGCAGCTGCCTCACCAACTTCGAAGGACATATTTCAGGATATTTGATATGCCACATCGCTCAGCAGACCAACTCTCACACTCGGCTGGACGTGGCTCGTACTTATCGCTTCGTAGTTTTATATCTGCTTACAGTTGCCCCTATTCAATATGTTTATATCATGATATACTTTTCCTTATGTGTAGTGGGGAAGCTTATTGGAGACGGCGTCTGCTTCATGTGAGGCTTTTGGCGTCGGTCCACCTTGTTGGTGATGCTTTGATGTGTTTTTTTTCGTTCGTTTCAACGTTGTAATCTCATACTCTAAGAAACTTTAGACAGGGGTGCTTAGACTGTGTTTTGTGATATTGTCAGGGATGCACGTGATGTCTTCTTTCGCTGCGATTGCACTTGACATAGAATAAAGAATTACTGCGTATTTTCAATGAGTGGCTGTACAATCTGCTCCCGAACGCTATTGAGAATGTTTGATGTGCGCTAATCCTATTGCAGATTGGTATGGTTTGAGGCAGTTGGCGTGGACTATGCAAAGGCGGTGCCCCTGGATCGAAAACGGATTGAAGACTGGTCATTTGATTTCGTCGTGGAAATCTCAGAATTTTTGGAGATCCTACATATCATTCGAAAGCTCTATCCAAAAGCTATCGAATGCGTTTTTGATGCTTAATACACTATTTATGATCTGGAGGAAAAGCTAAGAAATGGCCAAAAAGTCGGGTTAAAAACGAATTGAAAACTGGTTTCTATTTTTTGTCGTGGAAATCTAAGAATTTTCAGAGATCCTACATTCATTCGAAAGCTCCACATCAACAATTTTGAAAAGGCTTTGAAATAAAATGCTTTTCAACTTACATCTCTCTTTAATAGAACTTTTTGCTAAGGTACCGGGCTTACGCACTTACTCAAATCATATTTATGTAGTTATTTTTGCATCAGCTAAAATATTTTGGCGCATGTGTTCCAAACATTCTGCTGTATAAATTTGAGCTCTTCTATGTGGTCATCTTTGCTGATTAAGGTCTTTGGTAGTTCTAGACCTAAATGGAAGGCATTCTTGGGCTCGCTACCAAGGAGAATGAAGTGAGACGAATAGCTGTGGAATAATTGTGTTTTCGGAACGTTATACGCGTGAATCAGTAGATGAAGTCATCTCATTGATCATTCTTCTGCGTGATTGCGAGGAAAATAAGTTTATCATTAATCATGTTGATGCGTTCTGCTCATTTGTAGTTTTTTTCATGATGATAAGAGGTATTTTTTGTGAATAATGCTCAGAATTTTCTACGGTTCAACATGTTTCATTTGAAAATCACGAGAGTGTTCCTTAACAGGGTGAGCGCGCTGGAAGGTCGCTAGGTATATTGAACTCCTAAAGTGATACATTGATGCTAAAAACGTGAGGGTCTTCTCGGAGCGGGCATATTCGAAATTCTAAATTTCAAGATTCTGTTTCGAAACGTGATTCTTATACCTGTATCATCAATGGCTTGTTGGGGAATTTTTCAGTTCTATGTTTCGAAAATCGTCCTCGAGTAATCGGTAAAGAATTCATTTAGCAGAAGGTACTCGTCCAAATCCGACAGATTTACCATTTTCCAGAAAATGGTTTGGAGGACAGTTATTTTCTCTTCATTAAGAATGTCGCTACCTATGCGGGATCAGAGGCTTTGCCGTTCTGAAAGCTCGTCGTGTTTGCGTTACATACATTTGCTGGCTGGTTAGTTTAGGTTAGGCCTTCTTGATGCAAAAGTGCTTTGAGCGGGGCGTGATCCATAATCATTGTGCATTCTGCTCCATCGATGCAGGAGCAGAATTTGTGCTTATCATTTTTAGTTGTTTAAGCACTTCTGCTACCACAGCTTTTCCAAAGCTGCGGTTCGAACGAAAGGGTGCCCTAATCGAATGCCAATAAAATAGGTGCCGATGCGAGTTTGCATTCATCGACCCACAAAAATAATGTGTCAATCTTTGTTAGTGCCAAGGTAAAGTTGACAGAAGTTATGCAGTAGTATTTACAATGTTAGTGTCGCTAGAGGTGACAATTAGTGCGATTTTGTGAACGAGTCTTCTGAAGATGAGCACATGCCCAAAAATGCCTTAACATCAGTAGGAGTTTTACTGTTGGAAAAGGTAAAGTGTTTTGGTTAGGGTTAGGAGGTATTCCTTCACTACTCAGAACAGCCTTGAAATGTATTTCTTAGCAAACAAAATCAGATTTTTGTACCTTAGTTTCAACCTGTTCCATTTAAAGAGATGCAGTGATGTTGCAATAGTTTCTGATGTTATGATGAAGTCATCAATGTAGATAAGTACGTGGCTTTAAGGTGCTTTTTGAAGTCGCTCATAATTTTTTG